GGGCCCACTGAGTTGGCCTGCAAGCCATGCTCATGGAGAGGTCCAGTAGGCAGAGGGCAATCAATCTGAAGTTTTGGGATGGTCTCATCTGAACACAACAAACTGGAAGCTGTGGATTTCCCAGAAGCATGGGAGAGCTAGCTCCCTGGGGAAGGTTGTGGGATGTGGAGAGGACACAGGTGAGAATCCTGAGACTCATTAACATCTAGGGGACCAGAGAAAGATGAAGAACCCCGAAGCCATGGAAAGGGTGCCAGGAACCAGGAAGAGCTCTGCAGGGGCAAGGACCACTGAGCCATCACAGGTGAAGAAAAGGGTTCGCTGATTTGAGCAAGAGCAAAGTCCTGGTCAGTAAGGCAGATCCAGTGACACAGTGGCAGCAGGATGGCCTGGAAGGCTGTGGAGTAAGTGGAAAATGAGGCAATGGAAGCTGGAAATGTGGGAAACACAGGAAATCAGACTCTGAGGGGGCAATCAGGGTGGGCAGAAAGATGCCAGTCATGTCCTCAGACACAACTTCCCAGTGCAAGCACCCCCACTATCCACTGCTGAAGGATAGATGGGCCCCCGGCTGTTCTGAAATGGCCTTTCTTGGGAGACTCAGATATGACTCTCTGTAACTCCTTTATTTGGGGACTCTCTTATAAAAAGTCTGCCTATGTCACTGTCCACTTGTCCCAATCTTTGTGTCCCAAAAAGGTCCCCAAGTCCCAACATCAATGACAATAGCTACTATTATTGAATGCCTACTAAGCTCCGTGCTGAACATGTTACATGGACTATTTCATTTAGTCCTCAAGACGTTGTCAGGAAGGTATATACAGAGGGAAACTGAAGCTCGGGAAGACTGACTGGGCCATGTGGTTAATGGAATAACTGACCTTTGAGCCTGATCTGTCTACCACCATTTCCTGGGAGCTAGACTGTCTGTTATCTATCATCTCTCTCAACCCCAAGTGTTCTCATTCCCACCCGAGTAATGGTGCCAGGGCTCATTGCTTCTGAAAATTCAGCTTGCACATTGATCCTCATTCCCTCCTGACCTGCATACCAATCTCAGTCCTACTGCTCAACCACAGTGGATTATGAGCTAATAAAAATAGCTACCATTCTTCCAGCTCCTGCCTTCTCTACCTCTGTCTCCAGCACTGTGCCTGGTGCTGCCTGTTCCCTATCTCCTCCATCCTCAAAGCAACTCTTTGATGTCACTATTCCTATACCTGTCTTATAAAGGCCTCAAGTTCAGAGTGGAAAAGTAATTTGCTCAAGGTCACACAGCTAGCAGATGGCAGAGCTAGGATTCAAACCCAAGTTGGTGCGATATAATAATCTCCCAAATCTCTACTCTTCCTCCATGCCATGGCCACAGGGCAGCAGCTCCCAACCCTCTGGCCTCAGGATCTCTGGACATCCATCTCCTCTGGGAACTCATTTAGTTAATCATGTATTCATCTCATTTGGTGTTTCTTGAGTGCATTTATTAGGATCCAAGAGGTATGAGACAAAACTGACCAAATAAGCTGGAGCTATTTGAGGAATTTATTAGCTCTTACAGTTGAGGAAGATGTTTCTATAGCACAGAGAAAGAAAAACTGCAGGAACCAAGACCATGAGAAGCAAAATTGGAACTCAATGTCACTAGCATGCTCACCAAATTCCTCTCCTCTCTGTTCCTTGTTTGGGTCCCTACATTGAGGGAAAAAGATTGCTCCACAGCTGCTTCAGACACATAGTATCCAGCTTTGCACGCCAGGAGGAAGAGGGCTTCCTAACCCTCCTCCTAGCATCCACAAGTCACCCTAAGGAAAGAATCAGATTGTCCCGCTTGAGTTTTGTACCCACCCCGGGGACCAATCACTGTCACTGAATGTTATAGTTTGGATCAAAATAGCCCCAAAGCTCCATGTGTTCACAGAGGTGGAGTTTTTGGAAAGTGACTGGATCCTGAGACATTAATCTTATCAATGGGTTAATCCATTCTTGAGCTCATAGCTGAATGTGCTGTTAGGAAGTAGCGCCTGGTTGAAGGAAGTAGTTCACTGGAGGAGAAACCTGAAAGGGTATATTCTTGTCCCTGGCCTCTTCCTCACTCTCTGGTCTCCCCTATTCTTTACTCCCTGGCTGCCGCGGAGTGAGCAGCTTTCCTCCGCCATGCCCCTTGTACCATGATATTTCTACCTTGCTACCAGCCAACCAAGGATTGAAGCCTCTGAAACCATGAACCAAGACAACCTTTTTCTCCTTTTAAGTTGTATACGCCAGGTATTTTTGTTCCAGTAATGAACAGGAACAGATGACTAATATTCTGGAAGATGGGGCTCTAGGATTGGTGCTGTCTGGATCATGTGCCAACATGTGGCAACAGGGTAGGGATAGATAGCCCTACCCGCTATTCTGACAACCCACCAGGATTATGTAACATCGAGAAATTTCCCCGAGGAAAAGGTCGCCAAAAGTGGGATGATGGAATATAGGCCAGGGAGGTAGGACTCACTAGCTGTCACAGTCCTCTGCATGGGTCCATGTGAGAAGAGGCAGACTCACATAGACATGGCCAGGGGAGTTCACAGCCTCAAAAGGTCATAAGGCTTGCAGATATGAAGCCATTACTAAAGGCTGATAGCCACCACCATTCCTGGAGCATAGGGGGCATTATCCCGACCCTGGGAATAGGTACTGCTATTATCCCAAGAGACAGTAGAAAGCAACCTTTTTTTTTTTTTTTTTTTTTTTCAAGATAGCTAAGAAAACCATAAAAATATTTATGGGCTCACTGTCCCTGCTCAGAGAGGTTAAGTGACTTGCTCAAGGTCACACAGCTAGCACATTAAATGGACATCCTGGGAATTGTTTGGTTGAGAGCCATAAGAGTACTTCCATTCCTCCCTGCAGACTGAAGGATTAGAGAAGACTGCCCGGAGGCCAGGAGAAAGAGGTGGTGGGGAATCTAAGAGGAAGCTTAAGGAAATATCTAGGCAGGTGGCCAGGGAAGTCAGGAGAAAGAGGACAGGTCAATCCCCAACACTCAGAAGGGCCAACCTGGGCACCCTAGACTGTCTATTCCTTTTGGAGATTTAGACTCCTCCCGAGGCTGCCCTGACCAGGCAGGACGCAGACACTGACCCTCATCTCACTCCATAATCGTTGCCCACCCATGTACACACCCTGTGAGCTGAGGTCTTAGGCACAGTGTGAGCCACATACATGAGAGGAAATCTCACCTCCCTTTTTCTAAGCACTGCAATTCCATTTAATGAGACCCAAGATCAATTAGATATTTACTCTCCAAACAGGCTCACTGTCTCCTGCCACTTCCAGGCCAAACACATGGCCCCCATTCTGGATGGAGGGAAGACAGCTCCCGATCCAAGGCTAGAAATTCGTGTTGTTTCAGGCTGAGCTGATTGTTGATGTTTGTTCTCTCTTAGCATCACAACTTCTACAAAAGTACCGGGAATGTATGATTCCTTAACATCCTGACTGCCACTGAAACATGCACTCAAAAATAGTTAGGATAGTAAATGTTATGCTATGGGTATTTTGCCAGAATTGGAAATGAAGTGATCGGTGGCCCGGAGTCAGGAAAACATCACCCCCTAGTGCACTAATGAGACACCCTCAGCACCCAACAGGTCGGCTGTCATCCCCCACACACCAAATTGCCCCCCACATTCCCAGTGCCTCAAGGCCAATGCACACTTTCCATTCCTTCTCTCAGGGCTGCTGACTGCAGCCTGTGACACCTGAGCCCTTACTTCCTCTCAGCTCCCCTGGGCTCACAAGAATCTACTGTCTCCTCCTTGCCTGGCCTCCTGACTGCTCCCTCTCCATCTCACTCCTGTACTCTCCGGAGGTGCCTGCTGGGACCTGTGACTGATGATGCTTTTCTCCAGTCGGCCTGCTTAATCTCATCGGCTAGAAGGATGATTCAAAAAGCAAAAACAGTGTGCTTAACCCCAGCCCTTGCATAGACCCAACAGTCTTCTGATTTTTCTACCCTGCCCAAACACCTCCTCCACCCGGACCTGCGGGTGCCCTCATTTTCTGACTTCTATGGTGGCACAGCAACTACCAGGCCTCACAAGCTGGAAACCAGAGGCATCCTGGGTTGTCCCGTCCCCCAAAGCTCAGTGAGTCTCTAAGTGATTTCTCCAAGCAGCCCTTCTCCATCCCTGAAGCCTCCCTGCCCTCTTCCCTCAGCTCCAGCCTCTGAGCCACCTCCTAACTTGCTGCTGCCTGTGCGCCCATCCACCATCTCCAACTCCCCAGAGGGACTTCAGAGGGCAAGCAGGACCAAGCTGCTGCCCCACATCTTAGCTCCTGGCAGCACCAGGATAAAATCCACGCTGCCAGCCACTCTCTCTGACTCTCTCCCGATCTGGGCTTGCCCTACTGCACTTCCCACGAGCAGTCAAAATGGCATCTAAAAGGCCACCTCGACTTTCATTTCCCCTCCTCCCCCACTCCTCCTCTGATCCTCACCTCCCCCACGCTGACAGTCACCCGGGTAACTCCTACCTCTTTGAGATGCAGCTCAAGGGGTGCCTTCTGGGAGAACTTGCCAGGCCCAGGCCCTTGATCCCGAGCTCTCCTCTCCACCTCGGTACCCACCCCCATTGCCACTGCTGCTAGAACTTGCCAGGCCACAAGGACCACCCCTCCGGTTGCTCCCTGCACGTCTCTGGGGACCTGTGAGCTTTCCTCCCTGGGGCCCAGGACCTAACATGGGGCCAGGTATGAAGATGGTCCTGAAAAAATGTGGAGAAAAGGGCTGAAGGAGGTGATGTATCTGAACCACACCTGTTACCCGCATGGCCTCCAACCCTGCCCCTTCCAGCCCAGAGCCAGGTACACAGGAGGTGCTCAGCAAAGCCTGGTTGTGTTCTATTTTCTGAATCAATCTAATTGAAGACAATGTCTAGCGTGGTTTAAGGAATGATGGGATCAGGGACAGGGTCGGCCAGCGGAGCCTGGGGTGCCCCGCAGTGGGGGAAGGGGCCATGGGGATATCTGGAACGTGGAGAAGTAATTCAGTCCCCAGTCCCAGCCTCACTCACCGGCCCACTCGTGGGACCCTGTCCCCTTCCTGGGGCGGCGAGACCCCCGACTCCTGGCGCGCTCTGCGCCCGGCGCTGGGAGGCGTGCGTGTCGCTTTAAAAGCTCCCTCCCGGCGCGGGGCCGGCCCCTTCCCCGGCAGCGCCGAGCGAGCCAAGCCGCGAGCCCGGGCCTCGCAGGGAGCAGCGCGGCGCGGGCACCGGTGCGGGGGGCGCGGGGGTGCGGGGCGCGGCCAGGTGCGCGGAGCCGGGGCGGGGCGGGGCGGGGCTCGGCTCGGCCCGGCCCGGGGAGGCCCAGACAGACCCCGGGCTGCAAGCGGGGAGCCCGGCTCGGCCCGACCCGGCCCGGCCCGGCCCGCGCCGCCTCCCATCGCCTCCCCAGCCTCCTTTCCTCTCCGAGCCTCTCTTCTCTGCCCGCATCCGGGCCGCCGAACCCAGCTGGGCCGGGCCCGCGGATCGGGGTCCCCGCGGCCCACACCGCCCTCCCCAGGGAGCCACAGACCCCGCACCCTCCTGATCCCGCTGAGCCTCCCAGGTGCCCGGGGGTGTAGATCTCGGGGTCTCGGGATCGCGGTGGTGCCAGTCGTGCAGGGCAGAGCCCGGGCTCCGCCACCCCGCACCGGACTGAACCGGACCGGACCGAGCGAGCCCCGGGCCAAGCCTGGGGACCCCGCGCCTTCTCGGCCCCGTGACTCCAGCTCCCGCGCTGGGACCTGCCCGGCGTCACCTCGACCGCCCTGCGCCCGAGTCACCTGTGGCCTCGGAGCCCCAAGCCCTCCGGACCCGGAGCCTGGAGGGGATCGCAGGGGATTTTTGTAGCGCCGAGGCCCCGCCCCCTCCCGCTGCCCCGATGTCCCCGGCCGCGGCGCACAGGACCCCCCTGAGGCCAGAGGCCGAAGGGTGCAGAGAGAGAAGCCCGCCCTAGGGAGCCTGGGGGGCCCCCAACCTCGCTGGGGGCTCGGCCCTCGACGCTGCGTGGAGGGAAGGCCGGGGGCCCCCACCCTCGGTGAGTCCTGGGAAGGCGGGGCCGGGCAGGGGTGGTTCTCGGGACCTAGGCACCTGGGGTACACTTAGAGGCGGGCGGAGGACTCCAGTGGCCCTGGGTGAACCAGCGAGGCCGGCTTGACTGGGAGTGGGGGTGGGGAACCCGCGGCCGGGGCACCCCAGAGGAGGCTGGGGACTTCTGCCTCTGAAGCAGGGGCTCCCCGAATTCCTTCTAGAGAAGCGGTGGGCTGAACTCCATCTGCCTCCACCACCTCTCCCCGCAAAGAAAAAATAAATAAACCCCATCGAGGCAGGGTGCAGGGAGAAAGCAGCAATTCCTGGCGGTGCTGCTGCCTGGGAGGGCTGACGCCAGGCTCAGCTCTCTCCGCAGGGGGCTGCCCTCCTCCAGCCCAGCTCTCTCTCCAGAGCCGCCCACAGCTGGAGCCCCCTCCACATCTGGGAGACCCTGGCCACCGTGCCTCTGTTGGTGTCAGTTGCATCCAGAGATCTCTGCCTTGGTGGCTGCCTCGAAGTTGCAAGGGGATTGATTGCTGCCGCCTCCCCATCCCAAGGGCATCTCCTACCCTGACTCCCTGCAGAGTCATCCCCTTGGTCCAGGCTCTGTACTTCAAGTCCTGGAGGCCACTCCTGGAACCCAAGGCCCCTCCCCCTGCTTTCCCATGTCCTCACCTTGACCCCTCTGTCAGATTCTGCCTCCCTCTGGGTGCTCCGTTCCCCACCCAGGGGCAGAGCCGTCGGAGTGGCAGGGGGCAGGGGCTGGGTGTGGGCCGCCCAGGGCCAGGGTGGGCTGGGGGGCCGTTAAGATGTGGAACTCTGCCCGGCCGAGGGTGTCTCCGTGGAGGCAGACGCAGTGTGTGCCCAGCTCGGGGGAGTATGGGCAGGCCTGTGGCCACGTGGTGAAGGATGAACATTCGGGGCGCCCCGGACCTCGGGCAGCCCAGTGACGACCCCAGCAGTGGTGGTGAGCGGGAGCGGATTCGACAGCGCATGAAGATGGTCATCGGGCAGCTCGAAGGCATCCTGCAGGAGCTCAAGGAGGTGGCCAAGGAGCTTCGGGAGGTGAGTGAGGGTGGCCCTGGGGCCACACAGGCCTAGGCCAGCCTGCTTGGGTGGGGCTGGCACAAACATGGACATGTGTGTGTGAGTGTGCAAAGCTGTAGGCATGTGTTTCCCTCCACTGGAGACCTGTCTCGTTCTCCCTTACCCAAGTCTGTTTCGCTAATAACCTCATCAGACTCCAGGGCTGGAGGCACTCTGGACACAGAGATTGCTTGGGAAGTGCGTAAGTGACCCCGCTCTGTGGTTACCAGTCAGGGCTGCCGAGGTGGCCAGTAAGGACCAAATCCCACTATGGCTTCTTAGTGAGAGACACTCTTTTGGGACCAGGGCTGACACTTGACCCCGCCATCTGCCTTCCTTGAGACTCAGATCTAGCTTTAGAGGCAGTCTCCACTGTGAGAAGCCCCCTCAAAGCTAACCCCAGAGATGACAGATACTCAGAACCCTTGACCCAGGAAGAATTAAACCAGCTAGGCCTTCCCTGTCCTGGGGTCAGAATGGGTCTAGGCAGTTGCTAGAGGGTGTCAGGGTTCCTTGTGTGCATGAGCAGGTGCAGGGATCTCCTACAGTGGGCGCACGGACACACACACACACACACACACTCACACACAAGGGATGTTTCTGAATGTTTTCACCAAAGCCCTAAAGTCACTGAGAAATGCTGGGATGTGTATGTCCCTCTCTGTCTAAGTGGAACCTGGTTTAATTACCACTTCCCATATCATGGGGGTAATGAGGTACACATGTCCTCAGCCCTGCCCCCTGGGCTGCGTTCAAGCCCAAAATGCATGACCAGCGTTCTGAGCCACTGGCCTGAATTTGCCCACTGGGTGCCATTATACCACCCAGGTGGGCTTTAGGCAAATTTCAACTCCTTGTAACCAGGGCCCCTGCAGAGATGGCAGGGAGTGTGATTGAGCTGGAGTTACGGGCCCGGCTCTCCCCAGCCAGCTGCACAGGAGCTGGGGAGGTAGGTAATGTGGGTACCAACTCCAGGCTGCCTACATGGCATTCCAGCCTAGGGTGTGGGGTGGACAGGCACTGCCTTGGGCCTACCAGAAAATCCTGTCAGGAGGTAGAGTGATTGTGGCTTCAGGTAAACAGAAGTGGAGTTGCTTCTGCCCTGGGCTGGGCTAGGCTGCCCATGGTCTGGGCCGAATATCATTGACCTATAAATTTAGAAGTCAAAAGCTAGAGGCCCCTGAGCAACTCTCCTGCTCCAGCCTTATGGGTCCAAAGGGTGACAGTCCCCTCTGTCCCCCCATCCTAATTTGGATGCTCTGTAGTTCTATAGGGCCATAGGAACTGATCAGAGGCTCGCTCTTGGCCAGGGGCCTGGGACCCAGACCCAGTAGACTCAACTAGAAGGAACTAGCATTGGCCCTGACCCTGGAGGCAGCCTTGCTGTAACTCTGATCTTACTCTCAACTAAGTGTCTTTCAGAAACTTGCATGCCCTCTTCCCCAGCATAGCCATCGAGAGCTTGAAAGGACCTCACAGGTAGTCCAGGCCAGCCCTGTACACTGTTGAAGAAACTGCAGCCCAGAGAGGGACAGGGGCTTGTCCAAGGTCACACAGCATAGCAGGAACAGAACTGAGCTTAGAACTCAGGTGTTTGATGCCTTCTGGAGCTTCGGCAGGTGGGCTTTCTGGATGTTCTTGTTTTTTGTTTTTTTTTTCAGTACTGCTTAATGAACTCAGAGTCTTCCCACTGAGCTACATCCCCAGCCCTTTGTATTTTTCATTTTGATACAGGGTCTGGCTAAGTCACTAAGTTGCCCAGTCTGGTCTTGAACTTGTGATCCTCCTGCCTCAGCCTCCCAGAGTACTGGGATTACAGGCTTGTACCACTATGCTGGCTTCTCTTTGCATTTTGACAGGGATCTTCAGGAAATAATACCCTTTGCTCATGCCATGATGCTGTAGCACTAGGGCTTATTTGCAGAGCTTTTAGATCCCCTCCTTCCTGCCACTCACCTGCTCCCAAGTCACCCACAGCAGAGCACCGGGTCACAGGCTGTGCAGTCCCAAAGCCTGAGCCAGGACAGAGAAAAATGGGTCCCCTTCCCCCACACACCCTGTAGGCCATGTGCCTCCACCCAAGACTTTGGCAGGTTGCTATGGCAACCAGAGTCTACCCCGTATGCCACTGCCTGCCCGCTGCCAATGGCACCCAGCGGTGGGGGGGGGGGAGCCAAGCTCAGAGCTCCTTCATCCCCCAAGACAGAGCTGGACATGGGGCAGTAGCCAGAGGGGAGCGGGAGGGAGACCCAGGTGGGAGACACCTGGCCAGCTTCCTGTGTCATGGAGTTGATCAGGGATGAGGTTGCCAAGTGGGGTGCCTGATTGGTCCCCGGAACTTGAGATCTGGACTTGTGGTCCTCCAAAGGGATTGTCAAGCCAGTCAGCTGGCATTTTCCCATGAGGAACATGGAAGCCCTAAGGCCATCACAGCCCACTCCTTGGGTGGCACCTGCCCGGTCCCCACCTGAAGGTGGAGAGAAGAGTCACAGAATAGCCCCTGGGGCATGCCGTAGGATCCTTGGGGTGGGAACAAGAGAGCAGAAAGGAAGGGCTTAGCCTAGATCCCCTCTGTCATCTTCCTCTTGTCTGCAGCCCCCCATTTCTGGCCCCAGGAGCCATGCATCCAGGCAGACCCTCCTCACCCTCTCGAGCATCCAGCTGAAATTCATGGGAAGATGAGTTACACCAAAGCATTTCCTCCCTGAGTCTCTGAACTTCCCTTTGTCATCCCTGAAATGGGGACCATAATGACCTGCACCTCATAGTAACATTGCAAGGATTTGTGGGGGCTCAGTGCATGGGAGGGGTGCCATGCTGCTCCACTCCTAGGGGATTCCCTTCCCCATATGACCCTCTCTTCCCAAAGCCCCATTGTAGCTCTGCCACTAGCTCCCTGGGTGACAGAAAGCAAGTGCTATCCCATGGGTGGGGAAAGCTGGTAGAGGACTGAGTGAGGTAAGGAATGCAGAAGTGCTTAGAGAGCTAAAATTGTGCTGCAGAGAGATGTGACTGTCAGACATTAATTAGCCCTCATTTCTCTCAGGCTCCCCAATACTCCAGGATTCCACACAATCCCAGCAATGCTCCTAAACTCCTCAAATTCCATGGATCTTAAGCCGGAGGCGCAGGACAGCCCAAAGGCTAGGAGCATGGGCCATGCTTCCAGATACCTTCGGTTCAGATCTGAGCACTAGTACTGTGTGAATATGGGAATGTTGCTTTACCTCTTTGTGCTTCTGTTTTCCTATCTGTAAAAATTTTCTCAAACTTTACCTCTCCCCTGGCCCCTGGCCCCAAGGTTGTTGGGAGAATGAAAAGAGATTATATATAAAGTATTTAGACCCATATTGGCCACAAAGCACCATATCTGTTAGGTTTGGGATGTTTTGGTTTTTGTTTTTACATTTCTGAGCATCCATGCCAGGGCCTTGTACATGCTAGTCAAGCCCTCTGCCACTGAGCCACATCTCCAGCCCTTTTTGTTCATTTGTTTGGTTGGTTTTTGGTTTTTTGCAACAAGGTCTTGCTATGTAGTACAGGCTGACCTTTTATTCACTCTGTAGCCCAGGCTGGCCTTGAACTCACAACGATCCTCCTGCCTCAGCCTCTCAAGTGCTGGAATTATTGACATGCACTACCACGCCTGGCTCTCATAGGGTTTGGTTACTGAACTATTCGAGCAGCACTGGTCTGCTCCTCAGCAATATGGACAGCCTTGTTTCGGGGTCACATAGTTTTTTAGCCAGGAGCAGGGAGGTCAGGGCCAGATCCTGCCCTCACTGGGGCCCATTAGTGTCCCTGCAGTAAGCAGTCCCACCCCTACCAGCGAGGAAGGGGATATAGGGCCATGGGGACAGGGTGAGAAAGAGGTCTCCTATAAAGTGGCTTTTGAACAGAGACCTGAAGGAAATGAGGGGTAAGGTCATCAGCCACCCAGGGGCAGAGTGTTCCGGGTCTTGGAGAGAAGCATGCTCATGTGTTGTGTGCTCATCCTGAGCAGGTACCTGGGCTCCTCTTTGGGGCTCAAAGGTGGCCCTCGGCCCATCACCTTATCCCACATCACCCATGATTCCTGGGTTGGGCATAACTTATGGTCAAAGTTGCCCACCTTGCCCTAAACACCCCAGGAGGATGCAGGGATGAGCACAGCCTTTCCTCACCCGGGAGTGGCAGTGGAGAGTCCCCTGCCACCTGATTGTTACAGGAAATGGGCACCACAGCAGCCCGTTGTGCAGTCCTATTGTAAGGTGCCTTGTCTGAAGGTGGCAGGGAAAACCACAGGCCTTGTGAGCTTGCGATAAATAGAAGTGGCCCAGCCAGGAAGCAACTGAAGCCAGAGAGGCTGAGGACCACAGGACGGAGCCAAAGTGGGTCAGCTCTGTCACCTGCAGCTCAGCACGCGCTGCTCGGATTTTTTTCTTACTACTTTTTGGTCACACCTTCTTTCCTCCCTTTTCCCTTTGCCTTCTCCTCCTCTGGACAGATTCACTGAAGCTCACTGGTCAATTAGGCCAAATTGCAGGGTGAGAGCCATGAATCATGGTCAGTTGGCTCCCTGTCTACCCCACGCCACCCCTCCCCAGGAAGATAACAAACAACGTAATCACAGAATTAAAAAATAATCAGTGGTCATAAATAATGCAGAATCCTCAGTTATGTAACCAGCTGCCCAAGGAGCTGGGAGAACAGGAAGGAGATAGCAGCTTGTTGCGAAAGGTAAGGTGTAGGATGCTGGATCTGTGGCTCCTGGGTCCTCAGACCAGGCGGGATGGTCTTAGGGGACACAGAAGTGCAGTCCTTGTGGAGAGGGCTTGGCCAGGCCTGGCAATATGGGGCAGCCAGGAGAGCCCCAGACAGAAGCAAGCAGGTAGGGGTAGCAGGTGGAGAGGGGGTTAGAGGGGCTATGTTTGGGAGACTTGAGAATTTAGGGAGCAGGGAAGGGGAGACTGGAAATTGCTATCGGTGGGAAGATTAGGTAGGTGCAGTTGTTCAGGGGAAGGGAGCTGAGGCTATGACCAGAATGGAGGTTGAGGGGGACACCTAGGAGTCTGTCAGACCCCTCAGTCCTGCCTTCCTCTCTAGTGCTCACTCTTGGCACGCTCTTGGTTTTAAGGTGCAAAGTCCGGGAGTCAGCACTCAACTCTGGTCTCAGCTGAGTTCCTGTGGGCTGCTGGGCCTCAGTTTCCCTCCAGCAAGCTCAAGGGTGGACTCCACATAGTTTCCCAGGTCCTCCTGGCTTTGGAGTTCTGTGATTCTGTGATTTTACGGTTCCATTTCTCTCTCCATCCTCTTTCTCCCCTTCTCTTTCCTTCTGTGTATATAATTATTTCCTTGTACTCCAAGACAATCCCAAATTACATGTAGGCAAATGATTATTAAATCTCAGAGAGAAATCACAGATTCCAAGTCATCTGAAGCAGAGAGGCAGGTAGTACCGAGCATGTCCCACACTTGCCCTCCAGGAACTGGGTCCCCTTGGCCACCCAGTTTCCTCTCCTGACCCCACTTCCATCATGTAAGTGGCCCCCCTAATAGACAGGGCCACACTTGCCTGTGACCTCATAGTCGTTCAGCTTTTGGGAGTGAGATTTTCATGAGACAAATGGTCAGCCTGTGTGCACTAGAAACTCCCCTGCCAGAGTATCATTCTTTGCATGAAGTCACATCTGCTCTCTGAGCATGTGTTCCCGCCCACGGTGCATGTTGGCTATTGGTTGTCTGTCTTGTACTACGAGCTTTCCCAAGAGCGCTGGGTCTTGAAGTCCTCACAGCTGTAGGCACTACTAGAATTCTCCTTTGGTGAAGAAACAGAGGGGCGGAGAAGTTGAGTAACTTAGCCAAGGTCACACAGCTGTTAAATGATGAGTCAAGGTTGGGGCCCCGGGTCTGGCTGCAGACCTCAGGTTGTAAAGGGTTTCGCTGACTCTGCTGTCTTGTTTTGTTTTGTTTTTGGTACTGGGGATCGAACTCAGGACCTTGCGCTTGCAAGCCAGGTGCCGGAACCACTGAGCTAAATCCCCAGCCCTGACTCTGCTGTTTAAAGCACAGTCCTATCTGTTCAATCCTTGTCACCCTGGCCACGGAGAAGAGTGCCATCGCCCTTCGGCAGGACAGAAGACCACAACTTGGAGTGGGATTATCTGCAGCCAATTAAACCCGGGACTCCCTCTCTCCCTTCCCTCCAGACCCCCAGGAAAAGTCAGAGAGGCAAGCTGGCCTCCCCAAGCCTGAGTCACTGCAGCCACACCACGCCATGCCTGATTCCTCCTCAGCCGCACCTTCTGACACAAACAGACACCCCTCAGCGCATGGCCTGTCCTGAGGCTGGCTATGCCTTGGTGCTGTGTCTTCACCCTGCTTAGATTCCCCATACTAGGTTAGCGGTTTTCAAAACACACCCTTGACCTGCAGCAGCTGGGGCCGGATGATCTCATGGACTGGGTGGGAAGACACGCACAGTAGGTGCTCACAGGTGGTGACAGATGCCGTGTTTATCCCCAGGTCCCTCACATTCCTTCCACTGCCCTTCTTACAATTCATGAAACTCTGGGGAGGTTGGCAGGGCTGGGAGCCTCGTGGTAAATGAAGTTGAGGTTACTTCATCTGTGTGACTGGCTCAAAGACACACAGCAGTGACTGCACTAAGTCTGGCCCCCAAATGTCTGGATTCCCCCAGCTCTTCTGCAGATCTCAGCCACGATTCCTCCACTCCTGGCTTGGGGCATGGTGAGGGACATCCCTAGGTATTATCACCCAAAGCAGCTCCTCGGTCACCCCTAGAAATAGACTCCTAAGCCTCACCTAGAAGTGGAAAGAACCTTGGAGATAAACTAGTTCACCCACTGCCCCTGCTTACAGATTGAGAAACGAAGCCACAGTTTCCACCCTCACCTTGGGTGCTTGCTGCATCCCTGCCAGGAAGCTGCTGCATCCCTGCACAGCTGGCAGCAGCCTCAGGAAGCCTTTGTTAAGGACTTAATGACTGCATGAATGAATTGACTGCTCTGACCCAGGTACAGAGCAGGGAAGGTGCTGGGAACTGGATTCTGGTCCCAGTGACTCGCCCAGTGTCCCTGGCGCTGGTCTCTGTAGAGCTGACGTCCGGTCTCTGCCCACTCTGCTTTTGTGGGTTTGCGTTTTTACCTGATTCTTCTCTCCATTCTGTGCCAGGTCCTATCCCTGGATCTGTCTGTATTCCCCTCTTTCCCTCACTCCTATACGCTGATTTACATACTCAGAGCCAAGCAGGGGCAAGGGGGGGGGGTGTCCTAGCCCAGGGCAGCCTGAGTAGAGGCCTCTGTGAAGGGTCACAGCAGGGTCCAGGGACCTGTGCAGCCTCACTGGCTGCTGAGTGCAGTTAATGCAGCTCTGGACCACAACGGACGACTTCTTTATCGCTTACCAAATCCGCTCACTTTATTCCTTCTCCCAGAAGGCGGGGATGCTCTCTGCATCAGCAGGCAGGGACAGCACAAGGGAGGCAGTTTGGGGGCTTGGGAGGTGTAGCAGTGCCACATACCGCATACCGACTGTTCTGGTCCCCAAGGGCTGGTGAAGACCAGCAGGGGAGTTGCTGACCAGCTTTGGGGATCGGTTCAGGATGCTGTAGGAAGTATGAGCAGGGTCCTCCCAGCCCCCGCAGTCACTTCCTCTCTGAGGACAGTGGGCTGAATAGACTTTCAGACTCCTTCAGCCCCTCTTTAAGGCCCTCTATCCATCAGACAAAGCCCACCCCCTGATCACCGGGGCCACCCCCAGAGCAGCAGCTGTGTTTAAGAGAGGGGAAGTGCGTGAATGTGGAGGGGCAGAGCTGGAAGGCGGATGCCCCTCACATCTCAGGGGACTAAGGGGCGTGAGCCATTTGCTGGGAATGGCCGGAGCCAGCTCTGTTCACCCCAGTCCAGTCTGGTCCCTCCACGACACAAAGCTATGGCCTCAAATGCAGTCACCATCCCATAAGGTTGCCAGTCACAGGTCTGGCCAGGCAGGGCGAGGCACACTCACTGATCCCCTCATCTACTGTCCCCTTCCTGGCCAGGTGGTGACCCAGATCGACAAGCTAACCTCAGACTTCGACTTTGAGCTAGAGCCGGATGATTGGACCACAGCCACTGTGAGCAGCACCTCTAGCAGCGACAAGGCGGGCGTGGGTGGCCCCTTTGACCTGGGCCACCTGGACTTCATGACAGCCGACATCCTCTCAGACAGCTGGGAGTTCTGCTCCTTCCTGGACGTGTCCACCCCGTCAGACTCTGTGGATGGCCCCGAGTCATCAAGGCCAGGGGTCGGCCCTGACTACCGGCTCATGAATGGTGGCACCCCCATCCCCAATGGGCCCCGAGTGGAGACCCCCGACTCCTCCAGCGAGGAGGCCTTCAGCGCCGGCCCCACAAAAGGCCAGCGGACCCCAGGGACACGGGAGAGGGTTCGGTTCAGCGACAAAGTACTCTACCATGCTCTGTGCTGTGACGATGAGACTGAGGAGGAGGCCGGGAGCCTGCCCCCCGAGCTGCCCCACACAGAGCCTCACGAAGGAGCCCTCAAGCCCTCTGCACCCCTCTACAAGACTCGGCGCTCCCCACTGACCAGTCGCCGCTCCGGTCCCACGTTGGCCCCTGAACAGACCCGACGGGTCACAAAGAACAGCAGCACCCAGACCGTGTCAGACAAGAGCACGCAGACGGTGCTGCCCTACACAGCCACCAGACAGAAAGCCAGGGGTAAAAACTAGGGGCCGGGCCGGCGCTGGGGGTGGGCACATAGAGCTATGAATATATATATATATAAATTATATATATATATATATTTAAACAGTCATAATAAAATTTTAAAATGCTAAGGATCTGGCCCCATGGGCCACAAAGCTTTCACAGAGCTCATCCTAGACTCAGAAACACCCGCTCGCCAACTTGGTCCCCAGAGGCGTGACCAGAGCTGCCCCCCTTTTCAGGCCAGAGCCCCCCGAAGAGATATCTGACAGGATCTAAGGGAGGCGGGGAGGAAGACCTGGCTGCTGGCCCAGGCCAGGTCCTAGAGGCAACTCATCTGCCCTAAGAGAGCAGCATCCTAAGGAGGGCATAGGGCCCTCCTCCAGGGGAGAGCTTGCCTGTCCTTGCCAAGGGCAAAGGTGCCTGGATAGACACCTCCCTTGCCCAGTGCATAGCAGGCTTTCTTGGGATACAGCAGTAAGACATGCTGCTGCCTGGGCAGGCCACTGGGCGTCCACAGAGCCTGGGACCCCACGGCTCCATCCAGGCATGAGCTGCACAGTACATGAGCATCCTTGGAATGACAGTCACAACCATGGCTCACGATGGTTTGTTGGTTTGTTTGAGGAACTGGGGATTTGACTCAAAGCCTTCACACTGAGCTACATCCCCACCCCTTTTTATTTTGAGGCAGAGTCTTACTGAGTTGCCCAGGTTGGACTTGAACCGGGATCCTCCTGCCTCAGCTTCCCAGAGTCCTGGGATTCCTGATTGTAGTGGCATTTTATAGCATGACTTCGTTTAATCTTCATAATCACCCAACAAATTGGGACTATAATTCTCCCCATTTTTCAAATGAGAAGACTGAGTTCCAAACAAGTTAAATAACCAGCCCAAGGTCACCGACCCTGTGCTGCTCTGTCCCCCTCAGCAAGTGGTTTTGGGTCTGTACCTGATGCTATCGTGTAGCACCTGTGTGACCTTGGGTAAGTCCATCTGCCTCTCTGGGCCTAAAATGGGCCTAAAGATAGTCCTTGGCTACTTCACTAGGGTCCAACAAGCAGTACACATGAAAGCCCTGGACATGTGCTGCAGTCCCTGTGGCCCCAGCCCACATGTCCAGAAGCTTCTGGGGAGAGAAATCACTGCCTAGAAGACACTGCCCAGCCCCAGTAGATGCAGGGATCCATCAGGAGACCCAGCAGATCTGGGGCCTCGGCAGTGTGGGATCTGTCCCCGGCTAGTGCTGAGTCAGATCCTTACAGAGCTGGCCAGGGTGCAGCCTCAGACGCCCAGCGAGGGACAGGCTGGGCCCCTTGTCACCCCCAGGAAAGCCTCTGGCCTTGGCGCTGATCAGCGGTAGCACCTTGCATCAGAGTGTGAGAGATGAGAATCAGGAGCTCCTGGAGGGATGGGCCAGCTGGGTCCCCACTCAGGAATGGGCCCACCTTTCTATGAAAATGGACACCCAATTCTCTCTGTGAGACTTGGTTTTCCTCTCCAATGGCAAGACGACTTTCCTTGGCTGGGAGCTGGGCAGAGTCACAACAGAAGGGTCTGGGGTTTCAGCACTGAGAACCCAGAGGTGTTATCGGGTCCAGTCTATAAGGCTCAGGAATGCCAGAATGGGAGGGGCCAGGAGCATGAGGCAAAGGACCAGGTGGCCAAGGTGGCCACTCTGGGATAGGTCAATAGGATGGGCACACTGCAGTGTCCCCAGGGTCTGAAACAAGGAAACCTTACAGAAAGGGACAGACAATGTAATGTACAGAAGTATTCTGATGGCACCAAGGGGCAGGAAGGAGGGCACACTGCTCAGAGACCCGGCACCATCCCTGATCCGCAGAGACAAAGCCAGGCTGTGCTGACGGGGGGGGGGGGGACTGAGGTTGGGAACCCATGAGGCTGCAGGCCTGGCCTTCCACCTCTGCCTACCCTCTGTCTGCTGCCCATTCCTCCACTGGGACCTACGTAAGGAAGCTGATGTTTATTGACAACCTGGAAGATGCCAGACTCTGTGCCACATCTTTTAACCAACACTCAATGGTAGATTCAGTTGGGCTCAGCTCAGAATAGGTTGCTCAGTAATTATTTATTGAGTAAATGGATTAACCACAGTCATCATAAAGACTCTGCTCAAAGTTACACAGGCAGCAACTGGCAGAGCTAGAGACTTGACCTTGCTATTATTTACACTGTGCATGAGAGCTCATATTTGCAGAAAACCTGGCTGTGATCATCAGGAACTTCACATAAGATGCACCCAGTCCGAGCCCTGCCTTCCTTCTTTTGGATGGTGAGACCCCTAGAACCCTTCCCTTGGTTACCTGGGGCCCTGGGACACAGACCAAGTGACTGGCTGGAATGCAGCTCCAGGTCCAGTGTCCTTTCCCCTTCAATTTATTGCACAGACTGCCCTCTGTCCAGTAAATGTTCAGGCCTTTCTGATCTGGGTCACCTGGCTCCCAGGATGTAGGAGTGGCAGCTCGGGCATCCATGAACCACTTCCAGAAGGAGGAGGCATTTGAAGTAGACCTTCCTTTGGAATGGGGCAAGAGAATGGAAGGCAGTGGGGCTGGTGAGAATTGACCACCAATGGATGGGGTAGAGGGCCTTGTTAAAGCACAGGGCTCACACTGATACAAAATGGGAAAGCTGAGGGACGCTTCAGTAAGGGACTTCAGAGTCCCTCAGCCTACAGGCAGGGTGCTCTGTCCAGTCTGAGGCCAGGAGCACAGGTTTAAGATGAGCTGGTAGAGAAGGTTTAAGAGACTCTCATGGAAGGAACACACTGGATGAATTGGTAAGAACAGCAGGTAATTAGCACCACATGGATCCACTGAAGCCCTTGAAAATAATTTGATCCTACAAGTAGGTGAAACATTCATCCTACAAAGCATTCCCAACCTTCCTTTGCCCTGTGGGCCAGTGGGCTGGGATGCTGGGGTTCCGTCACCCTGGTGCACATGAGTCAGCTGGGATTCTGATGCGACCTGATTCTGCCCACCTGCCTGCCCTGCACGGTTGTCATCACCACCTACCTCTCCCCCTTTACCTGTTCCCAGCTGAGGAGGCTCAGGGGCTTGGCAGGTGACCTCAGGCTGGCACTGCCCAGGGCCCGGACTCCATGCTGATCGGATCTGACTCCCTGCCAGGAGCATTCAAGCTCACACACCTGCCTGGGGCTCTGCTCCCCATGCTGTTCCTGCTGGGACATGCAGAGATCACAGCTTCCCCACCTTGATGTCCTCCCTGCTTCTCTGAGAGGCAGCACAAAAACCCAGCCTCCAGGTACCACCCCACACGTCCTCCACCCTGAAGAAAGGACTGGGCAGAGGGGACACTCACTACAAGGCAAAGCCTTGCAGGAACAGATGAAAGAGGCCTGGGGACCCTGATCTTTGTGGGGTGCCCTGGACTCATCCTGGGATTTTGCCTGTACCCAGTGGTGGGCTGATTATGAGGCAGCCCAAAGGAAGCAGGTATGTTTCTGCCCACTGTGGAGAGGTGGGAGAGGAAAGAGGCTCACTCACAGATTGCCAGGATTCCAGGGAGAGTTCCAGAACCCCGGCACCCCCATAACCAGCAATCTAGGTGCCATCTCTCTCCCTGCCCCATCCCCCAAGATGGACCACTCCTATGAAGTCAATACTAGGAAGAGGCACATTTTCTGGCAAGACTTGGGGTGGAGGGTTAAATGACCCCAGTGATACCCAGGGAAGGGGGGTGGGTTCCAGGAGTAATGAGCTCAATGTGCATGAGGTGAGGACCGTGGCCTGAGATCCTAGAGGCACCTGTGGAAGCACAGGAGGTGCCTGAGTGTAGGTCAGGTCAAGCCCAGCTTAGGAACCCCCAGATAGTTGTAGAATGTTTCCCAGGGGTGTTCAATTGAAGCAAGTGATCAAGAAGGACTCCACTCCAGGCCTGGTGTAGACAAAGGGAGACTTTTTAAGGGTGAGCCCCAAATGTTGAGTCCAGTTGTGGCAGTTAGGGTGAGGTAGCAACTTGGTTGGTTTTGGGAGCTGCCCCAGTGATTGGTGGAGCTCACTTGTGGGCCTGTGTCATGGGGCATGGCCACAGAGTCTGTGTCCAGTTTCTGGCCTTTCCTCTCTGGCATTGGTCCCCTGTTCTGCTTCCCTGCCACCATGAACTGAGAAGCTTTGCTCTACCAAATCTTTCTGCCATGTTATTTCTGCCCTGGAGCCAGCTAGCTAGAGTCTGAATTCCTCAAAACTGTGAGCCAAATTAAACCTTGTCTCCTTTAAACTGTGGGTTTCAAGTATTTCTGGAGGCTGGAAGCAGCATCCTTGCCATGGTCCTCTTGCTCCAGGTAGGGTGGGTTCTGAACACTCCTCCAGCCCAGAGACTCCTCCTTCAAGTCCAGCTGACCTTGCTCACCCTCCAATTTCCTGGGCCTTTCTCTTCCTTTCATCCAGTGTTTGAGAATTGGTGGCCTGCACATTTGTTTTGCTTTCCACATTGTTCAAAAAAGAAGATTTTTAAATAAAAATTCAGACTTCAGATGTTTTGGAAAAAAATTCAGTTAATGTGATGACATTGGGCTGGCATTCCCTCAAGAACCTGCCCACTGACTCATCCATTGACATCAGCAGCTTCAGCCACAAGAGTGTTGAGTCCACCTTACCTGTGTGGTCTAGATCTAAAATATCTCCCCCAAGTCTCATGTGACTGGCTCATGGAGGCACTATACTCATCTGTGATTGGATCATTGATGAGTTCAGTAGCAGAATGTGCTGTTTGGAGGTGGGGCCTGATTGGAAGGTGAGGGTCCCTAGGGGCATGACTGTCGGAAGCAATGCTACGTAATTTTAGGGTAAAATCATTTGGTTAGCCTAGTTCTCCTGCCTACAGCCCAGCTACGGCATTCCAAGACATAATTCCATTTTGGCCTCCGGTCACAACTTGAGACCTCAATGATCCCGTGATGCTGTCATTCTACGGGACAAGATTACACCAGCTGAAAACATCCTGCGAGGAACAAAATCTTCATCTACTCAGTTCCTCATTGTTCTTGGACTGTTACATCTTGTTTACGCGGATGTACTGAACTCTCTGC